ATATATATATATATATATCATGGTTTTAAAAAACAACTTAAAATATTTATTTTTCAATCACATAAGTTTTTGTCGTTTTAAATTTATTACCAAATACAACTTTGAGAGCTTGAAAAACTTTTAAAAAATGTTGAAAAACTTGATTATTTTTAAAAACAGTTTGAAATTGGATAAAAGATTTTAAATTTATAGTAACAAATACACATTGAAATTGTTTTAGGTTGAATTTGAATGGAAACGTTTGAATTTGTGGTGAATTTGTGATGAAATATAAAGTCATGCGGTTTAGAGGATATAAACTATTAAGGATTTTTCGTTTCTAAAAAAATATTAAGGATTTTAACGATATAATATTATTTTAGGTTTTTTTTTTTTTTTTTTTTGGGTTAAATAATAGAGTGAAATAAGAGAATTTAAGAAATACAAATATTCAACTCTTGCTATAAGGATTGGACTAATTTTGAGTTTTTATGGATTAATTTCATACTAGAATATATAAATTGGGCATGCCCAAAATATGGTCTAGCAGATAATTGTATTATTGTATACGTATATGAATGTCATTTCAACATCAAATAATAGTGCACAAATTAAATGAAGCACTAAATAAAAAACCAAATACTATATAAATTTCACCATCCCTAATAAATTAAACACAAAAATAATTACAAGCGCGAGATTTGCGAGCCTAATGGGTACAAGGACATGGGGACTGGTGGACGGGGGTGCGACTTCTCTTTCTTTTTTCGATTTCTCAGATATGTTTTCTGCGTTAGCATTAGATTTACGTGACGACGGAGAAGAGAAAAAACAGCTAAAAAAGCTTGAGCTGAACAAACCCATAGCTAGAGAATAGTAAATGTTGAGTATATATACAATTTTTGTTGTAGGCAATATTGTTAAAATCTTATATGCTAAAAAAGATGATGAATGAATGAATGGTTTGTGGAAGTATAACTATTTATAGTGAAGTATATATATTATATATATGTGAAGGTTTTGTGGGGTTTAATTATTTATTAATTGATGAGCAAGGATTGGCTTGTGATTGGTTGTGTTGCATCAATTTGTTGGGTCACTTGGATGGTTCAATGTTGCTTCTTAAGACCAATAATATATAGTGTTTTGACTGAAATGTTCTATTTTGTTTTATTTTATTTTTCAGGACTATACATGTTGACCCCTTTTTTACAAGGAAGCAATTAAAATAAATACTATTTTTTTCTAATTTTAATACCACCAACATAAAAAAAAATAGATAATAAATAGGTAATATATTTATTACTCTTAATGAAAATCAATATTTCACATAAAATTTGTAAGGGCTCGTTCGGTTACCGCTATAAGGTTCTACTGACTAAATAGTAAGGGCTAATAGCATGTTCGGTTGGTAAGATTCACACTTTTTCAAACCCGCTACTAAATTCAAAGTCCGCTATTAAATGCTACTATTTCATTAAATTAGTAGCACCCCTCCCCCTGAGATTAATTTAATAGGGGTGACTAAAAAGGAAAAATACAATTTTATCCTTAAAATTATATTTTATTATTGTAAACTAAGTGGTTTTATAGACAATTCATATGTAATAACTGATTTTAACAAATTTAATAGAAAATTTAATCTAAGAAACCATACATGCTACTAACTAAATAATTAATTAGCCAGTAGGAAGTTAATCCAATCTCATGTAATCCAATCTAATCCAATATAGGTAACCGAACGAGCCCTAAGAATATTAATATTATTATCTATTAATTTTCTATTTTTTATGTTGATGGTATTGGAGTGAGAATTAAACGGTATTTGTTTTACCCGTCCCCCTTTTAGAATTATCACTCCAATTTAAAATTGCTGAAAAAATCGAACTTAACTTATTTGTTTGTGATTTTTTTTTTGTGTGTGTGTGTGTGTTTTTAATGTTGAACAATATTTTTTCAATAATGACGAAAACTAATATTTCTAGCTTAATACTATATATTTTCAACTTTTTTAACTGTATTTTCCTTTCAATGCTAAGAGCAACTCCAGTGGGAGTATCAAATGAATTATCAAACTCATAAACCACCTTTTTGATATCTCAATATTAAAATGTTCTATTCCATGGGGTATTAAAATGGGTAAGTATTTGATATTCTACCTCTTTGCCTGTAAAAATACATTCTCGAACTTGAGTTATCAAAAAAATAACAACATAAACATTCAATCACAAAATGAAACGTGGCAATTACAAATAAAAGCACTAAAAAACTTCTAACTAATATTAGTAATATACTGTTCGGGTAAATAATATTCTTAATATTACTGTCCCAAACAGTAATATTACTGTCCCAAACAGTAATATTACTGTCTCAAACAGTAATATTACTGTCTGAGACAGTAATTTGGCAGCCAAGACAGTAATATTAATTAAAATATTTTTTTCTAAGAAAAAAAAAATTCAAAAAAATTCAAAAAAAAAGTCAACGCCGGATAGAGGCGGTCAACGGCGGTTGACCGGTAGGAAAAAAAATACAGAAAAAAAAAAAAAAAAACAACGCCGGAATCTGGTCGGAAAAAAAATTCAGAAAAAAAATATTTTCTAAAAAAATATTTTTTCAAAAAATTATTAAAATGGTGGTTAATGTGATATATTTGTTTAAATCCGGGATCAATGTGTAATATGAAGGAAGTCGAGCATAATGGATGGAATTGATAAGAATTATATTATGAAGGGTATTTTAGCCTAAAGACATGGGAATGAGTTTATTTGAAAGACTGTGTTTTTTTTTTTTTTGGACCAATGTGTATTTAGTCCCCTTGTCATATCCTTTTTTGCCATTTGCCTTTTTTTCTTTAATGCCAAACTCTTTCAAATTTTTGAGTACGGCGCATTAGTCCAAACTATTATTTGAACTAAATCTAAATAATTAGTTTATACATTTCTTATCATTTTCAATCCTAATTAGGCTTTATTTTCCTCTTTTTTATTATTACTTATTTATTTAATTCAAAAAAAAAAGTTACGATTAGTTGACTTGATTAAGCTCTATTAACTTAGTTGGTTAATTTTTCCGGCCGCGGAGGGTTGTAGGAGCTCTGGTCAGCTAACTTCATCTAGCTCCCTCATTTAGTTGGCTAAACTTTTTCAGACAGCGACGGTTGCCGGAGCAATATTTAGTTGAATATTGTCTGAATTTTTTCGTCGTCCGCGATTCGCTGATTTAGTTGACTTGATGTAATTGATTTAAATTAATTAACTTCATTTACTTGATTTTAATTAGCTGGATTGCTGCAAGTTGATTTGATGCCACTAGATGTCCGCAGCGGCTAGAACAATGTTTTCATTTATCAGGGGAAGGGAAAAAAAGAAGAATGAATCAATATATATATATATATATAAATATATATATATATATATATATATATATATATATATATATATATATATATATATATATATATATATATATATAGATATATATATATATATATATATATATATATATATATATTTCTTCAAAAGAAGCATACACATACAAAAATAAGCATTCTAATTAAGAAAGGAACACAAATCTTTTTCAAAACTATAAACGCGACATTTGTGAGTTTATGGGAAAGTAAGATACGGGAATCGGTGCACGAGGCGTCTTCGTTTTCTTCTTCATCGATGATGAATTCAAATTAGGCTCGCTCGTATCGGAAATGCGCGTAGACGAATGAGTACTATTGAAGCAGCTAAAGAAGCTTGTAAAGAGAGACATTATATTGTACCTTAAGTGATTTCCTTGATCAAGAAAATGTGAACAAATTATAAATATTATTCTTTTTAGGTGAAACTATATATGAAGAATATTAATGAGATTGTTGATAGTGGAAGTGCAAATGATACACAACATATTTGTTGATATATATATAGTGGACATAAATTAATTAAATAAATAAATAAAATGAGGAAAATTAAAATTGTTTGATGATGATGAGCTTGATGAGCAAGGAAAGGCTTGTGATTGGATGTAATAATAATATGTATTATCTATTTCCTTGTCAATAATCAATTGAATGGGGCCCACATGTAATGTAATGGCTGCTTCTGGTCTTGTGCAATTTGGACTTGAGTTTGAATAGTTCCTTGTCAAGAAAGATTGACCGTTATTCTTTGGATTGCAAATAAGCACTTTCATGGATACCACATACTTATTTAAATAGTAAATAATAGATTAATTTTATTTTATTTAAATACTTTATAATACAATGAATTAAAAATAAGATCTTATATTTATTATTTATATTGGGATTCATGCAAACTCTACTTTTAAATCATAGCTTTATTTCTAAATGCAACCTTAAAGCTATTCCAAAAAAAAAAATTTGGTATATATATATATAATTGTTATTTTTCTAAAATCGTGTAATAATACACCGGTCAGCTAAAAGATTGATATAACAACCTTGCTAAGACATAACAAAATTGAAACAAATTTGTACTTTGCAAAGTTGCAAAGAAGGGTTTGACTATTTTTTACATTTTTTTGACCATAAAATCAGGATTGCTCGGTCAGTTGGCCGATAATCTAAGAGGGTGAACGGAAATTTATCGGGTGTTCGAGGGCAGTACCCCTGACTTTTATTAGGAATATCTATGAAGATAGCAACACAAGTAAGTAAATATTTATATTCATTAATTAAAAAAAATATATAATATACTGTATAAAATATGATAAGTAGGTTTCCTTAAAATTAGATATTCATAAGTATTATACGCGGATTAGTTGAATAAGTAAATTTGTTTGACAAAAAGAACTCGAAATACATAGAGATTTGAGAGATTAAAGTTAAACTCAAAGCATTGTATGCATGTGTCATTTTTTTTCGCTTTCTACCATTCCAAGTTTTTCTGACGAGGTTTCGTTTGGCTGAATTTGAAATTACGGAATGCAAATCAATTAAGCTTGTTTGGATAACTTCGTCATTTGTTTGAGTATTTTTTTTAAGGGTAAATTACAACCACTTTCCTAAGGTATGGTTAAATTACAAAAATCCTTCTCCTGTTTGAGTAAGTACAACTACGTACTCCTCAATTATAAAATTTAGTGGAATCTTCTAAATTATATGGAATAACCACATTTTGAAGCAAGATGATCATAATATGTGTTTTTTGGCTTGTATATATCAGATTGTGATGCATCAGGAACTGTATGTTTACACAAAAACGAGCACAAACTAGAGCACATTCCACGAAATCCAGATGATTATGTTGAATTTGACACCATAAGGGTCGAGGTGTAAGCAAAAAAATTATACTTGAGAGAGTAAATGTAATTATTCAAACAAGAGAGGTTTTTTCGTAAATTGACCATACATCAGGGGTGTTTGAAATGTACCTTTTTTTAATCATTGGTGGATTTCATAAACAAAAATATAACCAAAACTCAAGGTAAGTGAGTCTTTAATTTGTCGTCTCAACTCTTTTTCAGTCAATTTCCCTCCTTGATATGTGGTTATTCTATTTGGAACCAAATGTGAGTAGAGCATAAGAATAACATGAAAGCTACACACAAGTGAATATTCAAAAGCAGGGCCATTTCCGAGAATTCGGGAGCCCTAGACGAGATTTGAAGAACAACTGAGCACCCTCATAATCTAGTCCAATGCGATTGTTAGTGAAGAGGACATGAATGGTAATCCAATATAGCCGATATTCTTGCTATCGATCACAAACTCGTTCAAATTCTTCTGCTCAACATGTTCGTATAGAAGGTAGTTATGATGCACATGAGATAGCTTGTTCGTCTTTTTAAAGATTCATTTTTCGCCATTTCTTTCCACTTGAAGTGCAACCAATTTTAACCGCTGAATTTAAATCTTGAAATGAAATTTCTTTCATCTAATATATATACACACAGTGCATTATTATTTGGGCAAATGACAAATAGGTCCATGATAAGGGACTTAAGTGCACAAAGATCCAAACAAAAAATTGTCTTGTTAATAAACTAATCCCCATGTCTTTTGTCTGAAATACCCTCCATAATATATTTTTTTTTCTCAATTTCATCAATTATACTCTGACTTCATCAATATTACCCATTGACCCCATATTTGAACAAATATATCACATTAACCCCCATTTTCATAACTTTTTGAATTTTTTATTTTCAGAAAAAAATTCAAAAAAAAAAAAGGAAAAGTCAACGTCAGAGACAGGCGGTTGACCTGCCGAAAAAAAAATTCAAAGAAAAATATTAAATAAAAAAAAAAAGTCAACGTCATAGTAATTTTGGGATCAAAATTGGAATAATGGTTAAAATTGGTTAATTGGTGAAATTGGACTAAATTTTAGTTTAAATCATGAAATTAGAGTTGAATTAGGGTTTCAAAGAATTGAGGGTAATTTTAGTATATATAAAAGGGTCTTGCCATAATTAAACTGGTCTTTTCCTCATTAAATTCTTAGGTCCAGTTTCTTCAATCTTGTTCATATACGAGTAGGGTTGAAAATCAAATATATATAACTACTCCGAAGTCAATTTGTGATCGGTCCATTAAATGTTTTTCTGAGTACGATTTGTTGATATCAGAAACCATGTTTGAACCCATATTTTCATTCGGTAAGTTAGGAAGCTCGAGTAGAGAAAAG